TTCATCAGCTTCTGGCTGTGATTCTTCTTCCTGTGTTGTACCATTTGGTCCAGGTAAATTTACTTCTTCCACCAAATCAACCTCATACAGTGCATGTTCTACAAAAATTTAACATTTGCCGCAAGTTCTGGCCAAATCAATAAGATGCAGCGTTGTCACGCCCCGGACCTACCCGGACACGCCAACAACCCGCCGTATAGTACGAATAGCCAGCCGCAGTCCAACTCATCCTTACTATACAAGGCGTCTTGAATACCATTCACACATAGTACATCCATAAACAAACATAATGTAAAATAAACGTTTATAGCAGCGGAAACATTTAACACAAGTGTTTATGCCACACCTTGGCAAACATGGGCATACAAGCCCCCAAATAATTATTCAAAAAACAATATCCATGAGCATTATTTAAATTGTTTTCAAAACAGAAACGGAAGAAGCACGAACCACGTCTTCTTCCTTTGATCTTCCCGAAACAACGGGCGGTGGCAGCAACCTTCAAGTTCTACCTGAAACTGTGAGGTGGCCTCCCCCGTGAAGGGGAGGTCAGTACTTGGAAGCATTTGACAAGTACAATGACAACTATACTAAGCATAATCAATGTTTCAATTTCTTAAGACCCTCAATTCAGGGTGATATTACATTATAGACCATAACCCTCGGTTACCCCTTTTTGCTATTTAAATCATACTTACTTTATATGAAGTCAAGTAGTCGGCCCGTGGGCCCATATTCATTTAGAATTCATCATTTCCATTCCCCCGTGACCGCAAGTCACGATAACCCCGTGGGGTCCCATCGAGCCCCAATTGTATAGCAAGGGCTCGGCCCAACTACATTTCTATACAATCCTCTAACTCAATATAACACATCAAAATTGTATGGCAAGGGCTCGGCCCAACTACGTTTCCATACCAACCATAACTTCGTGGCAAGGGCTCGGCCCAACTACGTTTCCACGAAGATCACAAATACATGGCAAGGGCTCGGCCCAACTACGTTTCCATGCTAATCATATTACATGGCAAGGGCTCGGCCCAACTACATTTCCATGTCATCCTAGAGTCCAACTCTAATTATTTTCATAATCCAATTCTCAAGCAAATCCTATGCCTAGAATCAATTCCCTTGGGTAGCCTTTAGGCCTACCCCTAACACACCTCAGTGTTCATACAATTCAACCTTAAAGTATCTCTTGAGACTACTTAAGGCATATCTATTCACAATCCTACCTCTTAGGATTTATTTCATCATTTATTTATATTAATCCCCCGACTAGTATTTTGATACTAGTTGGATAATCTTAGAACATGCCAAGTTCCTATTTCCCAATTGACATTTCATTTCAATTGATTTTCCAACCCAAGTATAGTTTGATCCCAATATCAAAAATATCACTTTAATCCATTCATGAATCCTATACATGAAGTAAAGGTATATTTTATCACAATATTTTCATAGTTAATTCCATTATCATGCCATCACTTTCATGTCACATAATCATACCCAATTTCTTCCAAATTTGTATATCATGCTTCATTTACTCATAAACAATAGGATTTTCATTTAGGCATTATTAATCATTAATAATCCATGAAAATCACATTTTATTACTTTAGGAAATCTTATGAAATTAACTCACTAATTATAAACAATATAGTCAGTCATCCTCACCTTAAATATGTCCAGCAAGCCTTCCTATTGAAGCCCCATCGTTAAACCTTCGACCGGGAATGACCCGAAATGGGCTTGGCTGGCAGAGGGCAAAAGCCGCCCTGCTTTTGCAAAAGCTGCCCGGCTTTCGGGCCCTGCAGCACGAAAACAGCTCCTAGCAATGGCGGTTTCCGGCGATTTCGATTCCTATCGATTCCACAACTCTTCTATGTTAAATACCCACACTTTATATCATTTTTATACACATTTAAACGTGTAGAACATCCCCTATAATCCATCATATGATTCTTGTAAAATCATATATGAAACTTTATAAAAAGAAGGAACAAGAATCGGAGCTACGAGGTTCTTACCGTTAGACTTCGCTTTCTATCGGATTTCCTTCTCTTCTTGACTCCCTTTCTTCTTGATTTCCTTGGGGTGTGCGTATGGAGCTCTCAAGCCTCCCCTCCCTTTGTGTCTTACGCACAACCTCTCAAAAATGAAGGGATAAGGAGACCCCCTCCATTATCTATCTATTTTTAGAAACTTGGGCCGGTTTTGTTGGGTTCGGTTCGTGGGCTGCTCCTTTTAATTTACTCTGACCCAAATGACTTTTACTCGTTTACTTATATTATTTTAGGCCAGTAGATCTCAATAGATCGATCCTAAAAAGTATCGGATATTCCTCTCCAATGTTCCGGGCTTAAACCCCTTTACATTTCTATTATTAGAAAGTGACTCAAAAGTCTCTTATATTATTCCCTTATCTTTCACCCGGCCCAAACATTCGTATATAACTTATTTCCTTATCCTTGGGCTTTTAATTATTTTATCGTGGTCCAAGAATATACTGGTTAGTCCCTCCCCATTTTCTTTAGGGTCCGACACACAATATAATTAATCGGTATTAATTTAATCAATTAATCATTTCTCATATGATTAATATTTTTGTAACTAGTTTTCAAAATGAATAAATATTCACGAACTCAACTAGTCATCCTCATCGACATTGGTATTTGTAATTTCTATTGAATTTTAATATTAATGGATTCATTAATCCCAGTTCAAATTGGGAGCGGTGTCACAAGCGTGGATTGATCATCAAACAGCTCATGTAAGGACTCCATTGGGGCACTTGGTTTTTATAGTACATACCACTAATGTTTCCATAACTTCCACATTGTAAGAACTTCTTCAAATGAGGATAGCTTATCACACCAGGATCAGCGGGTATAGAATCTATTGCCCCCCAACATACATTTTATGAGGAACAGAAACAAAATTGCCCCATGGTGAATTGTCAATTCCACCATCTCAAACATCCTACACAGATTACATATAAGAAATCATATTTGATTTTAGTTCTACGTAATGCACCATGCATACAACATGGGTGTGAAGTACAAATACGTTTGATGAAATATAATACCAAATGATAACCTACAGTAAAACATATAAATCAGTTTATACAACATGCATAAAACACGAAATCATCGCCCATGGTAAATGACAACAGTGTAACAACACTCAAGTTCAGGAATGGGAGTGAAGTACAAATACATACCTTGTACTAATTCGCTGTGAGATTCAAGTTCTTTGATGCTACCACTTCCGTCCACAGTGACTCGTGTCCTGGCCGTAGTTCAAAATCGGTGAGCGTTAAGTTAGGGATTGAGGAAGTTCAATTTGGGGTTTGAGGAGGAGAGGGGTCTTTAAACATCACAAATACACGTCAGGGAAGTAGCCGAGTAAGTGATGGCCACGTCTGCATCCAGGTCAGCGAGTAACGGGCAAACCGTCTGGTTACTACTAAAAGCCTGATTAGGTGTTTTTGAGAGTAAAAGGATTTAATTGGATGATTTGAGAGTGCTAGAGCTTAATTGACTAATTGGTCGAAGTAGGGAGCCTATTTGAGGGCTCTCTTTTCAATACTATTATATTACAAAAATTTGTACCCACTCTTATACCCACTTTTGTACCTACCCATGTTTGTGAATAGGGGCGGAAGGAGGGGTGGCCTGGTTGGGCCATGGCCCAGGGCATTTTTTATTTTTTAATTATATATATATATAGTTTAATTAAGTTTTTATAAATTGGCCCAGTGTAAAAATCAAACTGGCCCAAGGTAGAAAAGTTATGGCTCGAACAATGGGGTGCAAAGTTCTATCACCCAAAAACTTAAAAAACTTAAGTGGAAAGTCAAATTCCCTTTGAAAACGCTTTAACAAGTTTAATTCGTTTGCATGCTCTGGTCTCATTCGTTGGTACTGATTCTCCACTTGATTTTGAAACATGTGGTCTCTTTCCCTTGCAATGGAAATAGAAAAATTATGGCCCAAACAAAATAGCAGTCGAGCTCCAACTTGAGGAAGAGAAATGCAGGGCCGCAGGTATCCAAACCACCTCATCAGTAATCACGATTCACGCATAACTCATTCACGGATGACGGACCTGACGCACCGCGCACGCCTCAGCCAGCATCGCCACCGGACATCGTCGACTCGCCATCTACTCGCCGATTAGCCGGAGACGCACCCTAAAGCGGCGACGACTGTCTTCTTCTCTCTTGGACTCCAGAAGCCCGCAACTTCTGCTTTTCCTCTCTTCAAGGTAGCTGCTTCAAGTTTCAAATCCTTCAAGCAATCAAGCAGACTAACAGAGCAGCAACCTGCAGAGGTAAGGGTTTCTTTTTTATTTGTTTTTACAATTTTTAGATTAATTAAGTATTTATTTTGTTAAATTAGTTTGTGTTAGTGATTACTTTGTCACAATTGATTTGTGTAATTGTGCCCTTTGAATTGTGAAATAGAAAATTAGGAATGTCAAATGTTATTTGTGAAGTTTTTAAAATATTAATATGAATTATATGAATTAAAATAAAGTAGTGATTAGTTTTTAATTTTTTGATAATTTTAGTAGGAATGACTACTCAATCTACTTCCAAAAAGGCAAAAGTCACATTTCGTTCATTTATAAGCCTAGTATAAGCACTCAAAGTAGACAAGAATTAAATGTCTCAATTGAAACTCCTAATATCTCACCCGCTCAAGAGGAAGTAATTCCTGATGCACTTGAAATTGAGCGGGATCCGGGAAAACGCAAAACGATAAGTGATTGACCGTTAGAGAAAAGAAGCGCAAAACGATCTTATTTGCTAAGTTTACGTTTTAAAAATGTTACTATGAATTTTAATCATTATGTTCACGCTATTGTCGTTTTTAAAATTTTTATGTAATGTTTTTAGTGTATAGTTGACCCAGGGTAAACATCCGTTCAAACATAGATTCTCAGACAATATTTTGCACAAACAAACTACGAGTTCATAGACAAAAAAAGCTTCTCAAATTTGTCAAATTTGTAAGGGTAACGTCCATCCTCCACGCCTTGTGGGAGAGTCCATACCACAAAAGCTTTCTAAACTCTAACGGTGAGGCGTCGCCACAACCACAACGACCAGCACCGAATCTCCGACAATATAGCAGGCCAATAACCGGCAATCTCGTTCCCTTCCATCGACCGTCCTAATTTGCGACCGGCCGACGTCATCAGCCGACGAGCCGACTATTGCACGCTGCACTGGCGCACTGCTACGACCCACTCACCGGCTACCGCTGCTCCCTGCACCTGCTTCCACCCGCCCTCCGCCCGCCGACTCCTGACTTTGACAGACGCCAGGTAGAAAAAAAGTACTTCACAAGTCACAACTTAATCGGAATTGGCAATAGGAACTGTGATTACTTAAGCCTAGTTCACACTCTGTTTATTTTTATTAAATAAAATTAACATATTCAGAAACTAGGAAAAAATGTAAATTTGATAAAAATTTGATTTATAAAGTAAAAGATTAAAAATGATTTAAGTTGGCTGTGAATAGCCTACCGGAACCTTCTAATGGGAGACGGAGGTAGTAATTTATTGAGTAGCTTTTCTTTCTACAGTTAATTGTTAGGATTTTATATATCTATTTTATGCTTCGTGATTCTGTAGTTAGCATCACTACAATGATTTGAAATTTGAATTTAAAGACACTGCATCAAGTTATTAATTGATAATTTATGCCTTGAACAACTTGACATTTTCCTAAGTGACTAGCTTAGTCCCAAAATTTTCTTCCCCACTGTTCTGCTAATATTAATAATTAAAACATACATATTTTTAAACTACAGTCGGAGTTTAATTGCAATGCACAAACGGAATTCAAGCTTCCTTTTTTTGCCCCTCCTCAATTGAAATGCTAGACTATGCTGAAATCCACCAGCCTTCTCCTCTTATAACATCAGCCGTGTGTGGCCTACCTACCTCTTCCGACCATTAACTCTTGAGCAGCAGCCACCGGTCTCTCTTTTTGTGACACAATTGTCATGTCAAGTTCATAGTAATTTATCATCCATATTTGTTTTCTTGTATTATCCTTATTTCCTATATGAATTTATGTTCAAATAGTTTGGGTTTGGTTTGTTGAAACTCCACTATTGAAGGTCTTATGCTTCAAATGTATTAAGTCGGGAGACCACTATTTCATGGCTACATTATGCTTTATGAATTTATGACAGGTTCTGCTTTAAATTTGAAGATACTTAGCATATCAGATCCATTTTGTTCTAAACTGATTGGAAAGACCACATGGAAGATTGACAAGTTATCAAAAATCAACAATAGAGAACTTCAGACTTCAGAGTAATCCATTTGAGGTTGGAAGCTACAAATGGTATGATGTTTTGTTGGAAAGAACACTGTTAAAAAGGTGTCTTTGGTTTTGCGCAACCATATTATTTATTTGTGGACATCTGATTCCTATTGAATGTATTTCAAGAGTGCAGATGTTGGGCAATAACAACAATTACTCTATCGTTCAAGGTTTTGCTTTATGGGTGTGTTTCCATTGTCAAGAAAATCATGTAGCCTTTCCACATTCATGGGTTTAGTAAAATCGGGATTTTTTGGAAGGAGTACATTCACAGCAGAAAGTGGGTATTGTCGAAATTTTGGGGGTGTCTCATCAGCTTTGTTGTTTGAAGATTCCGACTCATGTTCAAGTGGTGATGACAGATGTGGATTTGAACCATTTGTTCCAACTATTCCGAGGAAGAGATTGCATATGGGCTACTCACCAGAACTTTGCTCAGTTGTTGTGAGAGTGTACAAATCATTGAGGTGGGAGGTAGCTAGAGAAATTAGATTCAGTATATCAATTAAAATGCATGGCCTTTTCCAATCAATAAATGCCTTCATGATGTGTGTGCATATTTTTGCACAAGTTGGAATGCAGATGGAAATGTATGCTTTGCTCAAAGATATTGTTTTCAATTTCCCAAAGACTGAGTATGATTTAGTTAAGATATTTCCACTTTTTCTTATTTCACCCGATGATTCAAAAATATCAGCTTTCGTTGTTGATGTTCTAATCAAGATTTTTGCTGCAAATAAGTTGTTTGAAGATGGGATAGATGTATATTTCCAGGCTAGGAAATTTGGTTATAGATTAAGTAATTGTTCATGCAATTTCTTACTGAAATGTTTGGCAGAAGCCAGGAGGAAAGAACTTCTTCAAACACTATTTGAAGAGATGAGGCAATTTGGACCATCACCCAATGTTTATACATATACAATTATGGTGAACTTCTACTGCTGTAAGAATCACACTCAACATAAGATGGATTTAGAAAAAGCCACAGATTTTATGATGGAAATGGCTACTAGAGGGATTAAGCCATCTGTTGTAACCCACAGTGTTTATGTCTATGGACTTTGTAGAGCTGGATGTGTTCACTTTGCTTTGGATTATCTTCGAGACATGAGGCATAGCAATGAATTCATAAACTCTTATTGCTATAATGCCGTTATGCATGGATTTTGTGCAAATGGTGAAACAATTGAAGCTGTGAATCTTTTTGAAGAAATGAAGGCTAGTGGAGTTCTACCAGATCTGTATAGCTATAGTATATTGATTGATGGATTTTCTAAATGTGGGGATGCTGAGAAAAGTCTTTCTTTACTAATGGAGATGGAAGCTATCAACATAAAACCATCCTTGGTTACCTATAGTTCACTGTTGAATGGTCTTTGCAGAAGTGTACCAATGGAATTCTCACTTGATTTGTTTTATAAGATAGAGGAGTATGGCTATAAGCATGACCAGGTTTCTTACAACATCTTAATAAACGGGTTTTGCTTGCAGGGTGATTTGTTCTATGCTCATAAGTTCTTGGATAAGATGATCAGTAATAATATGATTCCTAGTGCTTTAAATTATAACAAATTGATCCATTCATTTTGCAAGATGGGGGCCGCCCGTGAAGCCTTGGAGCTTCTCAGAGCAATGATAAAAAAAGGCCGTTACCCTGATATATTTACCTTCAACTACATTATTAGTAGCTTATGTAGTGATGGAAATACAGAGAAGGCACTAGAAGTAATTCCGTTGATGCTTAAGATGAATGTATTGCCCGGTATTGTAAACTATAGCACTCTTATTAATGGTTTTGCGAAACAGTTTAATATCAAGAAGGCCTTGCTGTTGTACACGAGAATGTTAAAACTTGGGGTTACTCCAGATACAACTCTCTATACCATTCTCATTAATATATTTTGCAGAATGGGAAAGTTAACTGAAGCCTACAAACTGTTTAGGGAAATACCCTTTCAAGGGTTGAATCCTGATAACGTCTCATATACATCTGTCATAGCTGGGTTTTGTAGAGTTGGAGATATGAACAGAGCACTGAAATTGTTTAATGAAATGACACTTGCGGAAGTCTCGCCTTCTGTTGTTACTTATACATGCCTTATAGATGGGTATTGCAATGTTGGTCGTATTGATATGGCCAATATGGTACTAGAAGAGATGAGAAGAAAGAATGTACCTCCTGATGTTGTGACATACACTATCTTGATCCGTGCATACAAGAGGCTTGGACAATTGAATATGGCTTTCGAGCTGTGTGACCAATTGGAGAAGGAAGACATCAATTTGCATGATGTTGCATTCCAAGCCTTATGGTACGATAAGTAAGATCTGATAAGGAAAGGGTAAAACGGTTTTTGTACTTCGGTATGAAGAACGCTAATCTGTTCCCTATACACGTGGTTTGTGTAGTGGTGCCTAAAGCCGGTGACCAATGGAAAAAGATATCAGATCTGGGGTCCGGATTTTAGAACTTTTCTGGTCCTTCTGGTCTTACATTTTGCTTTACATTGCTTATCATGGAATGATCAGATAGGCCAGAGGAGTGCGTTCCTCCTGTAGAGGGTGCTATTCATGGTCTCATGGACTTGCAGTTCAAGAGAAGTGCTCAAAGTCAGTCAATGATGGAGATGAAGACAGTGGGGAAATTGTTGATATTTTCTCCATCCATTCAGGGCGCAAGACAGGTAATTTCTGAAAGCAAGAAGTTTCATTTTAGATTGAATAATTTGCTACTACTCCTTCCGTCCCGAAAAGGTTCGCCAAATTGACTTTTCTTGGTCAATGACATTCAACATTGACCATTAATATTTTTTAATACAAAAATATTTGGAATATGAAAATTATATCAAAATGTTCCTTATTCAAAATATTTTCATAAAAGTATAAAATTTATAAATTATATACAAATATAATAATTAAAATCATTGTCCAATGTTTGTCATCATTGACCAAGAAAAGTCAATATGGCAAACCTTATCGGGACGGAGGTAGTACTAGTTATCACTAATTTGGAACTAATAGTATAACGATACTATTTCCATCATTTGCAATGGAGCCAAAGATTCATTATTTTTTGGCTCGAGATTATGATGGAATAAAGAAAAATGGCTCACTAAACTGTTTGCGCTTCTGTGTTATGGAGAAGCAGTCAGTCCATGCAATTTTGGACGCGATTTTCACTATGGGTCATCCGGAAACAGTCTCTCTGTGCTTTAGTACAGGGGTAAGACTGCGTACATCCGACCCCCCCTTACCCTACCGTAGGTGGGAGCCTTTGCGGCACTGAGGTAAATGAAAATGATGATGATGAGTATAACGTTACTCTGGGCCAATCTGGTAAGAGTTTTTAGGCTGAAATGACCGAATTTGCGAGAGAAGCATTTGGTAACTTTGAGGATTAAGCAAAAAATTAACTATTACGAAAAGCTGTGTACAAGCAAAATGAAATATAAGCTCTTCTCGGCAATTTCTACTGCATTGAGTTACTACCTTTTCGATATAGTATAAGCTCTCTTTTGAAAGAATGACTTTTACAGGTCATGCTAAGACTAATCGCAACCCTGGGGTGAACAAGTCATATTTGAGCTTTTCCCCCAAAAAGTTACTCCAACCCTGTGTATAGAAGCTGAGAAGGGGGCCAAAGTGGCAAAGTGGGCTGGGGCACCCTTGGTGGCAAATTAGATAGGCTATTAACGGAGAGAGGCAGCAGCTGGCTGGTCACATAAGGAATAAGCAGTGGGTCCATGTAAAGTTTAAATCCCAGTTTTTTAAAAGCGTAATAGCCTTTTTATTTGTACTCCAATGTTTACAAAAATATATCAAAATTCACAACTTTTTATGATCTTTCATAGGGAAAAATAATAAAAATACCCCAAACTTTGAAGGGGTGTGAGATAAATACCCCAAACTTGTATATGTAATTTAAATACCCCAAACTTTATATAAAAGCTATTTTCGCACCATCATCATGTATTATTTCTTTCTGAAATGTAAATTTTTTGGGTTAATTGCATAATTTAAAATAGCAAATTAAAAGTGTTGCAATTATATAGATTTGGGATTACATTATTTATTTCTCAATGGAAAATTAGAATGTTAATTGTGTCTTCATGAATTCTAAAATATATTAGATTATGCAATTAACACCATAAACTTGCATTTTAAAAAGAAATAATACTTGACTATGGTGCTAAAATAACTTTTTATATAAAGTTTGGGGTATTTAAATTACATATGCAAGTTTGGGGTGTTCATCTCACACCCCTTCAAAGTTTGGGGTATTTTATTTATTTTTTCCTCTTTCATATGACACCGATATTGCATTATAAAGTAAATAGAAAAATATGAAGTTTCAACTATTGTAGGTTTTCAGACCCAAAATTTTTCTTGAAGAAATTCAAATGCTAAAAATTAAGATCTCATGTTTTTTACATCTTTCGTTTTTTAGAAATAGGTCTGAAGTAACATTAAAAAATTAAACTTCAAATTTATGTATTTTTACATCGGAACGTTTGACTTTTCAAATAATAATTATTCGCAAAAAAATAAATTGAAAAAATTGATTATATTAAAAAAGGCAAGATTTTAATTAAGAAAAATTTTGCTGGGTGAATATATGGCCGGTACCGGATTGCAGTAAAAATTCAATTAACTGAGTAAAAATTCAATTAACTGAGTTGACTGAGTGAATATGTATAAACTGATGGGGAATTTAATTTTGAGTTGCGGTTAGCTTAATTAAGTATTGCCTGGTGCAGATGTTGTTGAACCATTTGCAGAGTTGCCTGGGCAGATATTGCCAAGTTGTCAATGAATCTGATATCTTCACAATCTGAAAGCAACATTTTGTCATTGCATTTGTGGTACTATTCTTCCCTCTACCTTTTATTAAGGTCTTTCTGGCTCGAGCTTTAAGAAAATAAAGTAGGAAGAACAAGTAGTATCAGTCTACAAAAACATAAAAGGTGAAGTGATTGATAAAAGAGTAAAGTAGTTGAGTTCAAAGTCTCAGACTATTGAAAGTGTATCTTACAAAATTAGATAGTTGGATTAGGAAAGAAAACTTCAAAAAGAATAGGAAAGAAAGTAAGAAATGTCAAGGAAAGTTAAAGTGAAGTTAAAACGTTCTAAATGGATCTCAAGTATTTGTTGATACACATTTTATTTATTCATGTCTATTATGAAATTATTCAGCTTTGGTCCCATCACTTATAAGTCAATTCTCTCTTTTGATCCCCAACTTTCATTGTTCAAGTTTTGGTCCCGCAACTTGTAGATTTACCACTTATGGTCCTTCTGAGTTTGACCACTTATCAGGTCAATTTTTGAAGTGGTTGATTCTCACTACTCACTAGACAAGCTGCCGGAAAGGACCATGAGTGAGAAAATGAAAATTGTGGATCAAAACTTTGAATAACCTAATAGTTGTGGGGACCAAAAGTGAGATTTTCGTGCTAATAGTCGTGGGGCAAAAGTGAGATTTTCGTTTATTATATAAAGATAGAATCTGAAAATATGAAAATTTAAATAAAAATAATCACATTTAATTTTGCAATGTATTTTCACAGCTTCAGTGAAATGTAAGGAAGTATTACGTAACTTTTTATTCCCCCTTTCCGCAGTAGCATTGTCTACAACCTAAACATACCCTTAATGCTGGGAGCATTATTTATTAGAGTGAATTACCTAAATCGGACTAAAACATGCCTAAAACTCACAAATAGGACTACCATGTTTTAAATTCCCTAAATAGGACTAATCATGTGTGTTTGGACAAATATACCCCTGTAGCTTTTAGGACTAAAATAAATATTTAATAAAATTAATAAAAAAATTAAAAATTAAAAAAAACTTAAAAAATTAAAAAAATGACATAAAAGAAAATAAATACAGGCCTTTGCCGCCCCAGCACCACAAGCTCCGATCACCGGAAAACAATGCCAACATGCATTAGTAATGCCATATTGATGGCAGTCCCGGTGAAAATTTTGGCATTATCAAGGAGTAACAATGCCATTTTCTTGACATTTTTAAGAAAAATGGCATTTTTTACACAAAATGGCATTTGTTTTACCGATCGGAGGTGGTGGTGCTGGGAGGCGGTGGGAAAGGCTTCCATATTTTATTTATATTTTTATGTGTTTTCACTATTTATTTTTTTATTTTTTTGTTTTATAAATAATTTATTAATTTTTATTACTCTGTATTTTTTATTATTTTCTTACGAATTTTATTATTTTTTTACGATTTTATTATGAAATAAAACATTTTATTTTGAATTAATACCCTTAGGGGTATTAAGGGTAGAAAATTAATGTTTAGTCATATTTGTGAATGATTTAGGTTTTAGTCCTATTTAGGTCAATTACTATACTTAATAATATACTATCTACGTATGTCTATAGCAAGAGGATGCCATAATATTTGTTATACCCCCTCTCCAGATGACCAACAATATGTTTGTTTTTGTATCCTGGCTCTTGATTATCTTCATTTCATTTAGAAACGCTTATGTAGTACCAACTACCAAACTTTCATATTCATTGTTTGGAAAAGGGGTCAAATAGACCCTTCTACAATTGTACATCGGTCATCTAAACCCATATACTAAAAAAAGCATCACATAAACCTGTTTACTGACTTACTCTTAAAAATGATCAAATTAGTCAACTTTACATGAAGTTTACCATTCTTAGCCGGTCACTTGTTGTTTCTGATATGTGATATGTCGTACTCTTGTTGTTAGTCCAGCTCCCCTTCTCTCTTCCCCTTGTCTTCATCTTTATTATTCTTTTCGTACTCTTCTTTCATTATCTTTTTCTTTACTTTTTATTTCTCCCTTTACTTAAATTTACATAAATCAACTTAAGTAGCAGCAACCGTGAGTACGTCAATGCTCTGACCACCATTTTCCACCGCCACACCATTTGCTACTGCCAATGGACACCATTTACCACTGCCAATGGACACCATTTACCACTGCCAATGGACACCATTTACCACTGCCAATGGACACCACCTCCCTGAAACAGTTTGCTGCCCACAAACCTTATCGTGAAATCTCTCCGGTCGCAGGTATGAGGAGCTCCAAAGCTGCTAGTTCTGAATCCAAGGAAAGAAACCAGTAAGTACTTATTCTCTATCTCTAATCGAAGACTTGAGAGCAGTCCAATGATGCTGTCCTTCAGAGTCATCCCCATGGAAGCGGCTCCTTCTCTTCTGGCTTGCTGCAACAAGGACCGCGACGCCTGGTCGCCGGAGAAGGGAGGAGTGAAGTTCTCTGCTCTACAACGGGATCGCTGATTTTGTCTCTTGTGAAATCCCCTAAATCAGTGGCAAAGACCGCCGACTGGGAAATCCCTCCTTGCCGCCCAACTCGTCGATCTTGAAGAGGAAAGCTGGACGAAATAGACTAGAAAGAAAGAAAAGGTTAATAAAGAAAAAAAGAAAATATGTCTATGAATTAGAAATTGACCATTTTTTGGAGTAAACAGGTTTATGTGATGTTTTTTTTGCATGTGGGTTTATTTGACTTTTTTCCCTTTTGTTTTATGTGTTTACGTAATTTGCATTTGGTTTACGTAATTTACGGAACAGGTAGAGCGTGCAAAATCAAGGAATGTGGATAATATGTGCCTTTCGACCACATGTAAGAAATGGAAAATTCTCCTACTACCATGGCGTTTTCTCTTTGTGTGTGTACCTCCCTGTCAGGTTACCCATGGGTGGCCTGCCTTATGTTCTTCGATCTTCATTAGTGGGATAGCTTATGTGACACAACTCAGAAACCTAATAAGCTGTGTTACAATTATTTTCTCTTAGGGAGGGTTTTGATTACTACAATTTGGGGTTGGGAGCTTCTTCGATCTTCCAGTTGGCTCGTCGTGAATCTTGACATGATTTTCAGGAGTCTGATGCTTTTGAAGAGCCATCTGATGCTAAAAGGTCTACGCCACTACCTATTCTTTGTATAGAGGATGGACTGCCTATCCTACGTTTTTCTGAAATATTTGGCATTCATGAACATCGAAAGAAGACCAAGAAGAAGGAGCACCGTTACTCTGTTGCCAAAGGTATCACATTCTTGTATTTCTAGGGATTTAGTTGAACCATGGTAGGTCCTGCCATGGGAGCACTGGGCTGCCGTTTTTACTATTTACAAATTACAATCATATAAAGATGGCTGGGAATCCTATAATTTAATTATCTTCTTAAACGATTGTCCATCTATTTTTCATTTCATTGACTTCTTCGGGCTTTCTTTTAGTATTTCTAGTCTAGTAAGTAACATAAGTAGAAGAGGGAAACTAGAAGAACGTGGAGGGTGGGGGACACAGATATAGAATAATAAGATTCAACTGTTGTGTCTTGAATCATAGTAATTGGTACTTAGAGCAGGCATATTATTATAGATATCTTGCATATTTGCATGTTCAATTACATTTTATCTTACTTATGGTGAGGTTTCCTTTTTCACTTTCCAGAAAAGTACAACTTGGATAGTTCCAAAGTTCTTGAAGAAGATGAAGAGGATATTTTCAGAGGCTCTTATAATGACTTTCCTTGGCTGAGAGTGTCACTTATAACCAAAGAAAGCATTGCTATTGATGATGAGTCGGGATCATTTCAGGAGACTGGCAGAATAGCTGCAAAAGGCGATGATATGAAGAAAGACTCTTGTTATGGATCTGAACCAATGAAGCTGAATGTCCCACACAATATTTCTGCTGAGTAGAGCTCACTCTCTTGCCCCAAGTTCTGTCCTCTTGATCAACAAGATTAGGAGGATAGAATTATTTGGGAAAACTCTCCAGTTTCCAGTGCTGAGGTGGCAGAGAGTATTGAGACTGCTGATAGTATCGAGACCTCTGGACCCAATTGTGGTGAATCTTTTGATGAACAAACACAAATGGTGGCCGACTCAGGAACTTCAACCTTGGAACCAGAAATTGAATCCCATGAAAAAAGAAAAAAAGTCTTTTATCCACCTTGGAGCTGTTTCTGTGGAGCGTTTTGGTTCGAGAGAAACTTTCAGTGAAACAGACATGCATTTATATGGTGGTAAATTTCACCCTCAACTTTTGAGGTTAGAGTCTCAAGCTGATATAAATAAGCGAGGTAACCCTGAAGCCGGAGAGGAGTATATGCCCCAAGAGAGAACCCACTCTGATGCATTAAGGCGTTTTGACAAGCTCACATTATTAAATACAGATGTACAGGCAGGATCCTGGTTGGACAACATTATTTGGGAACCAGGTCAAGACACAGTGAAACCAAAGCTAATTTATGATCTTCAAGACAAACAGATGCTTTTTGAAATTCTGGATAACAAGGACAGCACACATCTTCAGCTTCACACTGGTGCAGTGATAACTACCAGTTGTGTAAAGCCCAATGTCGGCGATGCTGTTGAGATACTTCATGCAGGTCCTACAGGACATTTTAATATTGCCAATGACGAATTTTATTCCAACAGGAAATCTTTACCGCAATCAAAATCACATTCAAAGAAGCGCACTGCTCATGCTCTCAAAGTTCTGCATTCAATTCCAGCTCTTAAGCTGGAGACTATGAAGGCAAAGCTAAGCAAGTGTGTGTTCTGCTGTTTTTTCTGCTTTATTGTTAACTGCATACTTCTTGAACTTGGTTCCTTGGTGGTGGTTTCAGCTAATGTCATACTTAGAATTCAGTTAATTTAGTTTCTTTTCTGACCTATTTTACAAAATGTAGTGGTAATTATATAATTAGTTTTTGTATATACTGGTTGTTGCTGCAATGTGATACATAGTAACATGTTTTGTAGCTAAAGTAAACTCAAAGCTGAATCATGTACATCTTCCAAAATCCCAATGAAACTTGCTGTGTGGAAACTTGTTTTTATTACCCCCAATGAAAGAAAGCTAGATCCCAGAACCAAATTGTTTAGTAGAACTAGTATTTCACCTGTGCGATGCACGGAATAATATTCTGTTCAAATATTAAATCTAAAAAGCGAAATACCATAACTTAAAAAAATTGCCATATGAATGAGGTGCTAATAATAAAGTACACATCTTAAATTAAGAATTTAAAAGCTAAAAGTTGGAAGCATGCAGAAGGGTGCTTCAAACTGCTTTCACTTTTTTTATTACATAAAAAGTACTTATTTTATCAAACACTACCAACTTTTGTTTTTTGATAATCATTTTTTTTCTCAAACACTACCAACTTATACTACTCCCTCCGTCCCATAATACTTAGCCAATGTTGACTTGCACGTAGATTAATAAAGTAAAAACTGTGTGGTTGATATTGGTGCAGAGGAGAGAGAAATAACTTTAGCCACATATTTGTTACTTTAAATGAAAATGCAAAATATTTTGGGACGGCCAAAAAAGGAAAGTTGGCCAAGTATCATGGGACGGAGGTAGTATTATGTACTTTCTTCAAAATCACTTTAAAATACTCCCTCCGTCCCATAATACTTAGCCAATGTTGACTTGCACGTACATTAATAAAGTAAAAACTGTGTGGTTGATATTGGTGCAAATGAGAGAGAAATAACTTTAGCCACATATTTGTTACTTTAAATGGAAATGACAAAGTATTTTGGGACGGCCAAAGAAAGGAAAGTTGGCCAAGTATTATGGGACGGAGGTAGTATCACTTTTTGAAGTATAAGCAATCGCAACCGCTCTAATGACAATTTATCTTCCACCGCAAACTTCTGTCCACGCGTCTCATCTCCGTTCTCCTATGACGGTTTTCTCTTGTTCAGATATCTATCATATCTGTATTTTTTAGATGATAATTCAGTGATGTTTCTGATGTACTCCCTCCGTTCCTTAAATTTTTGCCAACTTTGATCGGCACGGAGATTAATAAAATAAAAACTGTGTGGTTGAGGTATGTGCAGGGGAGAGAGAATTAACTGGAACCACAAATTCTTTTCTTAAAACAGAAAATGCAAAAATTAGTGTGACATCCAAAAAAGGAAAGTTGACAAAGTTTTAAGGAATTTTAGGAGGAACAAACCCTTGAGGGTTATGAGGTGATGCTTAAATCAAATGGCAAAGGTTTAGATATCATTTATACGTATTATGTGTTTATATATTATCGAAGCAGTTTTTTTATCTCAACTTTTAAGGATTCAGCTCGTGTAACGTCAACTCCAACCTCAACTTCATCTGATCTATTTAAAAGAGATAAGTACAACTTTGTGTCAAATTATCTTCAATATCTTTTTTAAGGAATCAGTGATTTCTAGACAAAAATTAAATATGAAAGAAGTTTAATTGATATTGTCTTTATATATTTTAATATAATATATAAATTAGTTTAATAATTTTAAACTAATAAACTTTTGTGAAGAAAAGTATATCAAAATTTAGTAATTGAATTAATTAAAAATTAAATATCACGGAACAATTGGTTTTTTCTTGATTATTACCACCAACTTCCCAATTAGAGCGGCCAATCATATCAAAATTAATATAATATTGGAATTTTATCAATCCAGGAGCCGAAACATAGATTAATTATCAATTCAGGACCCGAAAGATAAAATGTATCGGTATAGGATCCGAATGATGGAAAAATATCAATTTAGGACCTAACATTTCATAGGTTTCGATTTATTTAATTTTTAATTAATTCAATTACTAAATTTTGATATACTTTCCTTCACAAAAGTTTATTAGTTTAAAATTATTAAAATAAAAAAAAAATAATAAAAAAAAATTATGACAACTTAGGTCCTAGATTAATAGTTTTCAATCATTCAGGTCCTAAATTGATAGTTTTTCATCATTCGGGTCCTATATCGATGCATTTCATCTTTCAGGCCCCGGATTGATAATTCGTCTATAATTCGGGTCCTAAATTGATAAAATACCTAAATAATAATATGGAAAACAATTCATTCTGATAGCATCAAACATGATTTCGAGATTGTAATGTGATTAAGGAGATTTTAATTTTTCAATTGTTTAAAACATGGTTTGTATGTGAATTGTATTTCATTTATTTACTATCCCCGATTTCAGTAACAAACTGAATTATGCACGTACCCTTGTCTTACTTAGAATATACTTAATATGATACACATAGTTTTTAAGATATGAAGCAAAACCATTCAGCGATATGCCAATAACTAAAATATGTTGCATAACCTTGTTTAGATTATGCTACAAAATGAAACGTGCTATCAGAATCTTCATTACTAAATGAAATTAGATTTAAATATAAATTATCCTATATAACTTCTGTTGTTAGCATAAATGAATTGCCCTTTACATTACTTATAAGAAAAATAAATATTGAACATTAGTACAGAAAATATAAATTTAAAGGTTGCAAACATTTCTTTAGAAATCTTTGCCTCGAGTTTCATCATATGCTCTTTTTCGAATCAAGGTAGCAGACTTAGATTATAAAACCTTCGGTCTCAATATAAAGAATGTCCCGTTTGTTGCAGAAATTGTGTTATACTACGCATATAGCATGTATTAGATTTACAGAAAGAAACATCCTCATTAATGGAGGTTAGTTCTAAAAAAATTGGGATCCATAAAGAATATAGCCAGCCACCAACTTAAAATACCGCATACATTCAATTAAAAATTAAATAGAAATTGCTCTAAATAGGAGCAAAAACGTTTTGAAATTCTAAAATAGGAGTATCATGTTTTTTATTCCCTGAATAAGAGTAATTTGTCAAGTTTGGAAAAAATGTCATGTTTTAAAGTATAGTAATGTCAAACTTGGCAAAAATTTACTCCTATTTAAAGAATAAAAAACATGATAGTCCTATTTTGGAATTTCAAAACTTTTTCATTCAAAAATTTGTAACAGCATCTACTCAAAAAGTTTCGTCTCCAAACACCAATCCTTCAACAAAGTCATCAATCTTTTTCTTGTTTAATGGCTTTATTCAGTTTTTGGAAGGCCCGTAGTGAGAACAGTATACACTCGTACAATACAAACCTTTACCGTCCATGTGGATTTGCTTTGGGTTCACATCTTATACCCAACTCCATAAACCCATCATCTGAACTCTTGTTTATGACCAAACTGTATGTTTAGGACAAAACTGATTTGCTAATCACAGGTTGTACCCGACTCTATAAAAGCTGAACATAAAACATGCATTAAATGCTACATAGAGGAATCAAACATCAGCCATGTTTGCCTACAAAACAACCAATCATAATCCTTTTTGAAACGTGAATCAGCATTGTGTTGGGCTTATCTACAATTGTATTTGCCGATACACCTCGATTTGTAAATTACGGATGAGAGTAATTAAAAAGCTAAACTCTTGGGAAATTGAGCACGTGATTCTAGAATGTACTAACTTTGGGCGGGAACTTACTCAAGAAGTTTTCTTTTGCTATTATATAGTAATAGATTGTTCTAACTTCTATCTCATATCATACCAAGTGTTTTCCATGTTGAGAGCTCTATTACTTACCTTGGACTTGTTGAATCAGATTTTTGGGTAAAATTCAGGATGTCTCACTGGGATAGGCAGGTGAGATGGTGTAAGAGTCATAAGACCCTTGGTTGAAATCTCTAACATGGCTAAGTTATTGTACTTGTACTTACATGTCATGATGTCCCCAGCCCCAACCAATTTATCATTTACAAGTGACATGACAATATTCGCGCACTTAATTTCTTATTGGACATTGCAGGTTAATAATTTACTGGTAAAACAATCAGTATTTAGAACGAATGTCCCAAAAGGAAAATTGACAATCAACTAGTATGGGAAGGAGTATGTTTTAGACAGAGATGGTCCTCAGGCAATGGCATAATGCTTAAGTTAGAGGTTACTTTTTATTCGGTCTAAACTTACATTGTCCAGAAGAGTGACTTGGGTGTTTTTTTGGCTTTGTAATGAAGCCATGAAGTGAATCTTGGACTAAAGACTTATTTGGGCATTTCAAATTTAGTTAAACTTCATCGCCTTAAGAGAACAATGAGAACATCTTTCTTTCCTCATCTTTTTTTATTGATTCATTTGGATATTTTTTCAGTTGATTGTAGTATGCATATCAATAATTTTCTAAAATTAACTAACAATATAAATTCATGTGCGGGATGGCCCTCAAGTAGCAACCAGCGTTATCAAAGAGTGGTAGTAACACACTAACACCACTATAGAGCTATCGAATAGTTAATTTTATTGAGTCCAATACGAAAATCGTGGTGGGATGTAAGCTCCGCTGCAAGGGAAATAATTGCAATTATTTTATTTTGCAGGCATTGCAGGAATAACAGATAATAGCTGCTATTGCATCTTACGAAGGGAAAATGAGATGAGATTCTAAGACCATAAATGTCTTATTTATTTAAAATTTCAACGTGTGTGCAACTACCATAACTTGACAATGAAATGAGATAGTTTGGATCCGCTCCTAGGTATTTGTCCCTTACTGTGTTTGCCTATTTGGTCATATCTGTGTGGCTCAAAACTATTCATGCTTTACAAATTCATTATCAACCACACAATTCCAATTTTCTTAATTTATTTGTCACCTCACCTTGCCCCAAGCTTAATGTGATTTAGGGAGTATTATTAACGTTACTCATATCCCATTGCATTATTGACGGTCATGTCGAAAACTAACACTCATATCTTGAAACATGACCAAATTTTGAGTGCCTTTACACTATCCAAAACTAAGGTGTATTTCTGTAGTTAGCATTAATGTTTGTTTCTTTAAATATATATTGCAGTAAAGATATTGCCAATTTTCATCGGCCTAAAGCCCTATGGTATCCCCATGATAATGAGGTCGTGCTCAAGGGTCAATGGAAGCTGCCTACACAAGGACCTACGAAAGTTATATTGAAGAGTTTAGGAGGCAAAGGAAGTAAGTTTCATGTGGATTCTGAGGAAACTGTCTCTTCACTCAAGGCAAAAGCTTCAAAAAAGCTAGGTTGGTAGTTTCTTATATTTATAATGTGTTGAAACTTTTGAAATCGTCAATAATTGAATTGAGTTTGCAGATTTTAAACTCCCTGAACCAGTAAAGATATTTTACTCGGGTAGGGAGCTTGAAGACCATAAATCTCTTGCAGAAAAAAATGTTCAACCAAACTCCTTGCTACATCTTGTTCGCACAAAAATTCAATTGTTGCCCAGGGAACAAAAGCTCCCGGGTGAGAACAAGTCTTTGCGTCCTCCTGGGGCTTTTAAGAAGAAATCTGATCTTTCCGTTAAAGGTCATGTTTTCTTGATGGAGTAAGTTTCTCAAAGTCATATTATCCATATTTTATGGTGCAAACTTTTATTGGATTGTAAGCTTTGGCTTTTGCTAGTTCCATACACTTAATATTTTGCAGTTTGCACTTTGCACCTATCCTTCTATGGGTTACTCTTAATTACATTTTTGCTGAGTATTTGCCATCTGCAAGGCCATAAATTGATGGAAGTGTCTCATTACCTTGGGAATAACACTATAAACTATCCCATCCCCCCTCTTAATATGTTTGTACAGCTCTTCATTTTGTATTATCTTCTTTATGTACATGTTACATAATACTTTTCAGTTTTCATATGCTGGGACTTAGATGTTGTCATGTTTATTTGTGTAGGTACTGTGAGGAGAGGCCTTTGCTTCTAGGTAATGTCGGAATGGGTGCAAGATTGTGCACCTACTGCCAAAAATCAACTCCAAATGATCAAACAGGCATATTGATGCACAGTGACAATAACAGATTGGGGAGTCTCATTGTACTTGATCCTGCCGATAAATCACCTTTTCTGGGTGACATATAACCTGGCTGCAGCCAGTCTTCCCTCAAGACAAATATGTATCGAGCTCCTATATTTCAGCATAAAGTTTCATCAACTGATTATCTATTGGTACGCACTGCAAAGGGGAAGCTGTCTATCAGGCGCATTGACAGGATTGATGTTGTTGGACAACAGGTTTGTTGAAATAGAGCATATTAACTAAGAAATAATATTGGAGAGGAAAGGATTTTCTGTGTATTTCATTGAAGGGTAAGGCCCTATAAATATAGATTACAAAGATAGAATATTCCTATAAAAGATGTTATACAATAATACTATATATGGTATTGAGGGTGTATATTCTAAAGCATATTCTAAAGTATATTCTAATATACTTTCACAAGGTTGTTAGTAGTTGCGAACTTATTTTTAGAATTTTTTGAACCATCTTTATTCTTTAGAGCCTCCTGACCGTCTTTTTTTCCGGAAGAACAAGTGACAACTTGTTACTTGCTAGTGGTTATAAACTTATAATGCATTTTGCAAAACAAATGGTTGGCATCTTTATTTACTACATCTTTAACATTTTTTCCCCAGATTTATAAGGATGAACTCCCTTGGAGATCTCTTGCTGAAATTTTGTTGTTAATGCAAGAGGGATCATTCTTCAAGATTAGTTCTGTAGCCTTTATTGTGTGTCGGCTTCTAAAAGAACATTGACAATATGTATAGAGTTTTTCTAAAGAGTATGTGTGTAGGACACGCTAGTGACTGGGGCCATTTTTTTATAAAGGAATGAGGTCTTTTTAAAATAGTTCTGAATTATGGAATATTGGACCACTGGTTCAAAATTTAAAACCTTAGATTTCTCCTAAGCAGCACGGAAACGCGAAACGGGAAACATGAAACGGGAAATGAGAAACGCGAGAAAGGTAATTTCTACAAAATATAGGATAAGAAACGTGAGGGAAACGCGTAAATATTAAAAAATATAAGGGTATATCTATAAATACTTTTTCATATATGTACATGATATTTCCATAATTTGTTTAATGACCCAATAATAAACACATTCTACATGTTCAAATTTTGAAATCACAACATATTAGTACATACTTAAACATATAATGTAATTCATTTCTAGCAATTCATTCTGAAATGTCTCAATAATGCTATGGAAAAATATCACAAAAATTGACTATTTGTTTTTAAAAAAGACATTACTTTTGCATCACAGAACTCTTAAGAAAGAGAAAAAATTGGAAATTCAGGGTTTCCGAAATGCTAAATATTTAGGGAAACGGGGTTTCCCGTTCTTTTTAATTACGGAAATGGCCCCAAAACAGGAATTTGAAATTTCTGAAGTTCAGAAACGCTTCCGAGTTTCTGAAACGGGGAAACGTGAGCCGGAGAGAGTTTCCGTGCTTCATAGGATTTCTCTCTCTTTTATTTCAAGCACACAGACATGCATGTTCCCGTACCCGAATCGCATATTTTTATGAAGTGTCTTTTCTTGCACCTCAGTGTTCCTGCCTTACTATTTGTTTTGGGATTTTTCTCTATAATTTATAGGAGCCTCACATGGAGGTGATGACTCCGGGATCAAAAGGAGTCCAAGCATACATTATGAACAGGCTATCTGTATACATGTATCGTAAATTTCTGGCTGATGAGAAGTTTGGTGTGCGGCCAGTTGTCCATGCAGATGAGTTGTCTGTGCAATTTCCTAGCTTTTCAGAGGCTTTCCTTCGGAAAAGGCTTAGAAATTGTGCTGATATGCAGGTATTGCTGTGTACTAACCCTGGTGCTACACAGAGCATTTCTATGTTAACCATGTAGCATTGTGCTCACCCCCCATAGACACTAGTTACAATTTTGTGTTCGATATTCCCTATCTTTGCATTTCTAAGTGGATTTACAATTTCTGTGTTCTTATGCGGTTCATCAGAGAGGATCAAATGGACAGTTGGTTTGGGCTATGAGTAGTTTTCGCATTCCATCAGAGGAGGAATTACAGAGGATGGTGACTCCTGAGATCGTGAGTGTATAACATTGCCTTATGAAGTTCTATCCTTTGAGCGTTCTGCATTTACTGGAGTTGTAATGTTGTAATGTTTTAGCTTTATATAGAGTGTTTGACACAATGGGTTGATGTGAAATGGAATATTATTACCCGATGGTATGGGTGAAATGGTATGGTTCCGGTCTTAAAGTATGAAAACTTTAACATTTACCGCTTTGGAGTGATGGGATCCTGCTCTACCTGTTAGTTCTCAGTCCAGGTTCCATCAGATCTGAACAGGAAAGGTCTAAACTAAAAGGACTAAATAGGACCGACATATGGCTGGTTACCTAGGGATGGACTAAACCGGCCCGGCCTGACCCGGAACCAGCCCGACCTGTTACTGTTTGGGCCCGGACCGGACCGGGACCGGTTGGCCTGTTCCGGGCTTTTAGCCCGTTTGGGCAGGTCGGGCGGGCCGGGCTCGGGTCCAACTTTTGGTGAACCGGCCCGGGCGGTTCGGGCCGGCCGGGTCTGGTTCAATTTTTTTTTTTTCAATTTTTTTTGCTTTTCTAGGTTAGGGTTGGGTGTTTTGGGGGGGTGGGGTTGGGGGGTGGGGGTGAAGGGGGGGGGTCGGGTGTTAATTAGAAACCAAAAAAAAATTGAACTTGACTCGGGCTCGGCCCGGCCCGGTTAGGCCCGGACCCGGTATCAACCCGGGCCGGTTCCGGGCCCAACATTTTGCAAAAAAAGCCCGCCTGGGCCCGGAACCGGAACCGGACCGGCCCAGGTCCATCCCTATGGTTACCTGTTTGGTTCCAGTTCTAAAACCGTTCAACGGTGCAATTTTTGGTTTAAATGAATGATCCTGGTCTGGTTTTGGTTGGAATCGCGAGTCACGACCATGTCCACCCCAATCAGATGATTGCTAAAAGTGATGAGGATAATCCTATATGTGTTTCAAATATCTATCAAATACTCCCTCAATCCCTCATTCCCAAATTGTAAGATACATTTACTATTCACTTGGTCAACATAAATCACTCTTAATCTTTTACTTTATATATCAAAAGTTTATGAAATTTGAATTAATTTTCACAGGTTTTGTAGTGGTTTTAATGTAGTTTCTATGTAAATTTTATTTTCTAAAACTAATTTGAGTGGTGACAGGGATCAATTTGCTTTATCGTCGGTCAAACATCGTAAATCGTAAAGTATCTTACAAATTGGGATGGAGGGAGTAATTATTATTACAACAACAAACAACATCCAAGACTTCCCAAAAGAGTTTGGAGTCAGCTAACATGAATCGACATATGAAATCGGAGTTAAAAAGTATAAAAAAGTAATCAATCCTCTTCACGTATATTCTGCCTCCATTTCGTTGTCTCAAGAGTCATACTCTCATTCAACCCAAGTAGTACCATATCATTCCTGACTACTCTAATTCACGTCTGTTTGAGTCATCCCCCTCTTAATTCACCTAACAGGTGTATCACTCGGTCTTTTACGCACATGACCAAATAATTATTATTACATGAATAAAATTAGCAATTTTTTTAGCAAGATACAGTCTAAAATTAGCAAGACTTTATTAGACGAGTCATGTATAGTGACTATAGTCCAATCATTTTTGCTAAATTATGTTTTACATTGCACTCCATCATTTTCAATGGAGCCAAAGACTCACTGTTTTTTGGCTTGGGAGCCAAAAACATTAAAGCAAAATGGATCACTAAAATGTATGTGCTTTGTTATGAAGCATCAGTTAGTCCATGCAATTTTCGACTCGATTTTCGTCCAATCCTCCTTACCCCACCGTAGGTGGGAGCCTTTGCGGCACTGAAGTAATGTTTTTTGTTGTTGTCTAAGTTTTACATTGCACAGTAGTAGACATAGATAATGAAAACTTCTATTTATTTTGAGTTCTTTCTTTCTCAATCGATTTTTTTTTGTATAAACCAGTAAACAGCTCACATTGATGACCTAGATATAGTTAGTGAAGATTAAATGTTGATACCCTGGGGTTTTTAATGTCCTCCGTATGATTCTTTTTCACTTCCAATGGCCGATCTTGAGGTTGTATGTTTCTTCATCATGCAAGGTTTGTGCATATGAAAGCATGCAAGCTGATCTATACAGGCTCAAACGCTTGAGGATTACCCGGCTAACTAACCCTTCAGGCCTTTCCGCTGCAATGAATCAGCTTCCAGATGAAGCGATTGCCTTGGCTGCTGCATCACATATAGAGAGGGAACTGCAGATAACTCCTTGGAACTTGAGCAGCAATTTTGTTGCATGTACAAACCAGGTATCTTATTTTTATTTGATTTATTCTACTTATTGGCAGGCTTTGGATAACACTTTCTGCTGTTATGGCTTTTTACTTGTACTTAGATTGATATTACCTCCGTCCCGGAACAGGACTACCTCTTTTACTTGGCACACTTAATTAGAACAGAGAAATTGTGTGGTTAAATTTATGTATTAGAGAAAAGAAAATTTTGAACTACACAATTATTTACTTAAAAGGAAAGATGAACCTTATTTTGGGACAAACAAAAAAAGAAAGGGAAGTGTTTTGATGTGGATAATTTGATTTTTTTGTGTTTGTATGCATCGCTATCTGAGGTCTTGAACTCTTTACAATTCTTCAATTTATCAGCCACATAAAGTACTACCTATCTAAAAAAAGGGGAGAAAAACAACTCCCATCATTACATCATGGTCCAAAATCATGTTTACTTGCTGGAGTTGAATTTCATCTGCAACTCTTTGTTCATAATTCTAGATGTTGTTTTGCTTTTACTTTTCATTTTTTTCTTTTATTTTTTCAAACTGTTCTGTCCATCATTAGGAGTGAATTGACATCTTAGACCAGTTGTGGTAGGTTTGATAACTTCAATGCTGAGTATTTTTCTACGGATTTCAGGCCTTTGCAGGTGCCATAGATTTGATCATTGACTGTTTGTTTTGTGTGTTGTTTGTATAGGACAGGTAACATTGAGCGTATGGAAATTACCGGGGTTGGAGATCCCTCTGGACGGGGATTAGGGTTTAGTTATGTCCGTGCTATTCCAAAGCACCCATTTCAAATGCAATGACAAAGAAAAAAGCAGCTCTTACTAAAGGCTCAACTGTTACTGGAACAGATGCTGATCTACTAGGCTGAGTATGGAATATTGAAGGCGACTCATTTGTCAATCTATGTAGTATGGACTTTAAAACACATATTCTTTTGTGCATATTGTATCAGACTCAGCCATTTTTTTTCTTTTTTTTTTCTACAGATTGAGATATCTTAGAGCCCATTCATAAGGTTGAAATTTGCAGTCTTTCGCTAAATGGTGGTTGATATTTTTTATGTTCCTAAAATTGCTGAATATGGAAATATATATCTGAAATATGAGTGTTTTTATTGTTCAATAAATAAAAATATGAAAAAAGGTTTACACGATCATCAAAATTCAAAAGCAACTACAGCCAAAATAGTAGTTACTTTCATTATTACCAATTCAGCACTCGCAAACAAGTAAACTATTTACTGGTCAGGTATGCGTTACATATACTAAGGCTATGTTTGGAACACAGAAAATGGTGAGATGAAGAAAATAAACATGTAATGGAAAATAGTTTTGTATGTTTGGTTTTACCATGGGAAATACAAATCAAAATCACAATTGATGTTGGATTAAACATGTATAAATAGAATGATTTCAAACTATATTTCAATGTTCAAAATTGCACAACGCCTTGTGGTGCACCTCACACATTTTTAGCACAATTGTACTTTGAGGCTATATACCCAGTTGTTGGGCCGCGGGTATGCGGTGCCAGCAACAGCCAGCCTGCCGGTGCAATCGGATCGCGTGGCGCTTCGCTTGTGCTATAAAGGGGGAGGAACGTGCTTCACTATCAGCGATTGCTTTTAGTGTAGCGGTGAGCGCAACGATCCACACCAGTGGCAGAAATGGCAAGGCTTATGATGTTTTGGCATAAGGGTATGCCTCATTGCGCAGCACCTTGAGGCTTATGTAAGGATGGTTTTATTCTAGCCCACATTTTATCGCTAAAAAATAATTTTATTTTTCTGTTGTCAACTTTACCTAATAGTCCTACATGACTTCTCCTCTCTCTATTCTCTATTCCGTCACAATTGTGAAACTTCTCCAGTTCTCCAACATGACTTCTCCTAGTTGACGCTACAGCCTTTTTTAGTGTTTTTTATGATCCTTGAATTTCCTATTTCCTGGTGTTGTGGCCTCATTGTAGTTCTATTTGTACTAAAAAATGAGCCTTACGCCTCATTGCCCAATGAGAGTTATTGCCATACTCAATCCAACAAACATTATTTCTTAATGTTTGCCCAACTCTGCAACACGAAATTACTAACACTGCAATTAATTCCTTCAGTAGGCATTATTATTGATGTTGGTGAATGCTAGTGTTGCTTTCAATAAGTGAGGGTATGGTACATATAATGCATATCATTGATCCAGTTCATCATTTTTTTATGTTTGAATGATGTAATTGCAATACACTTATCCCTTACCGTAGAATTCAACTTTTTTTTTACTCCCCCTTGCATTCTCTCTCCCCATCACTTTTCCTTCATTCTTGCTGTCCCTATAATTTTCTTGGTTCCAAACGTACGCTAAGTTTAATATTTATTGAAAGTTTGTAGGTATACTAATATTCTTTTATGTATTATTATACACACGCAAATCTACCAGATTGGCCATATGCGAACTAACAAGAACTGTCCCAAGTATGGGGGGATGTTGAAAGCCTAGATCCAGAAAAAGCATTGGTGAAAGCTACCCCTCTTCTACAGAAGCCCCTGTTGAAGAAGATCATACAAAGAAGCGCAACAAAAATTGCAGTGGTTGAGGCTGCTCAAGAGGAAGAAAAGTCTGGTAGCTCGAAGGCTAAAGTCCTTAGTTCAAATATGGGTCAATGGAAAAAATCTCTGATAAACCTACTACCACCACATCCCTGAGTTCTGACAAACCTGTTGCGTCAGACGGAGAAACTGGATCCAAATCAGTGGACAGTGGTTAAGATCAATAGGTTAAAGTTTTCTCATAATAATACTGATAACAATATGATTCCCCCTGAAGATTCTGCAGGCGCTGAATCACGCAAACCTTGCATTCTAATAAAACCACCAAATGAGGCACACAAGAAAATTGTTATCAAACAATCAAAAGACTCTTCTAATGTAGAGGAAGTCAGCCAAGAAGGAAGCGGCAGGTCTGGACGCAAGAAGATGAAGAAAATTGTTGACTTATCATATTTTGATATGCAAACGGAGCGGGTAAATTATCACAATTTTCCTGAAGAGGCATCAAGGAGGAAAAGTATGCAAAGTAAGGAGAAGCTATGGGAAGAGCAAGAGAGGAGGAGAGTCAAGAGGGAGAGGGAATGTTGTATGAGCAACAACATAAGGCATTTGAAGAGCAGGAAAGGTTGGCTGAACTTAGAAGATATGAAGATAGTTTAAGGAAAGAGAGGGAAGAAGAAGAGGAAGGTCGAAAGGCAAAGAAGAAGAAACAACTTTTGCAAAGACCAATTATCAGGAACAATTACTTGGATGATTTCCCTCCCATGAAACAACATGACAGAAGAGTACTGGACAAAGATAGATTAGCAAAACGCAGACCCGAGATTGATTTTGGGGGGAGGCATAACATAGACTATACTCCTTCCTCCAAGCATAGAAGACTAGCAGAGGTTAGTAATTGCACCCCATCCCACCCTACCCCCCACAGTGGGAGCGAAATTGTTATTTAGCCCCTCAGTTATGTGGCTTTATCAATTCTAATATCTCTTGTTAACTTTTGTAAAAAGTATTCTTTATAAGTTGTTTGTACCCCCTTGGTGGCGGTTTTAATTCCCCCCCCCCCCCCCCCCCCCCCCATAAGTCCTGTTAAAAACAAGGGACTAAAATGGGTACAACTGGATTTCCACCCTGGGGTACAATCAAGGATTGCAAAAAGTTAACAATAAGGACTAAAATTGCACAACTCACAGAAGTCAGGGACAAAAGTGGAGATGTATTTTTTATAAGAAAATATTTCTGGCCAGGATAGATTGGTACATGCAATGTTTTCTTTTGGGTTAATGTCGTTTTTAGTCTCTAGGCTATATAGCTTCAGCAATTTTAGTCTCTCTTCAACTTTTGCAAAGCTATTCTTGGTCGTACCTGTTGGGGACAGTTAGCCCTGCTAACAATGCTGGACTAATATTGCTATTGTTTAGGGACTACAATCGCCAGTTCGCCACCAAGAGGTACAACCAGAATTCTTTTTTCCAAAAATTAACAACTGACTAAATTAGCAAAAACCAAAAGTGAGGGAATAAAAAGGAAATTGACATTTTTAAACCTACAAAGAGAAAATCTTATTGTTGTTGCTGTTGGTGGTATTATGATTATCATTATTATTAAATAAATTGGGAAAAACGTCTATTGCTTTAAAAAAATCAAACAAATCTCCGATTTTTGAAAAAAATGTGTAATTGAGTCAATTACCAGGTTACCTGGCATGTCAGCAGGTCATCCGCTGACGTGACGGACCACATGGTGACTCACATGTGCACCACATCATTAGGAAAAGGCTGATTGGGCTTCCACGTGTGCCCCACATCAGCAGAGTCACTGGTGGCTGAGCTGCCACACGTGTGCCACGTCGGCATGTGACTTGGTGATGTGGAGAGTAACCTGCTAATGGGCTCAATGGAACGTTTTTTAAAAGTTCGGGGATTTGATTGATTCTTTTAAAAGTCCGAGGACTTTATTGACGTTTTCGTGAATAGTACAAGGACCATAATAGAAATCTTATAGAGAGAGATAGAGAAAAAAGTTTATTACTACTTAACTGTTCTGGAGCAGCATTACAAGATATATATAGAATCAGTTAGGTCAGGCTACTAACCAACTCTAACTGACTCTAACAAACACAGATTAAGTACAATACACTATTCTAGAATGTATATCTAACATTCCCCCCTTGAAGATGAAGGTGATTGATCAGCAACACTGAGTTTTGTCCTTAGATCAAGAAAATTGGAGCTGGAGAGTGGTTTTGTTAGGATGTCAGCAACTTGATAGGGAGAAGGAATGTGATAGACTTGAAGCTGCTTCAGATGGACCTTTTCTCTGACAAAGAAGAGATCAAGTTCCATATGATTGATCCTGTTAGTCCCTGTTTTCTATAACAATAGTATAATATGGCATACAGATGAAAGATTAACAACAAAGATGAACACAGAAAGATCAAGTGTAAACCTTCTCTGATATACCGTGAACCTTTCGTACAAGAATGATAAGCGCTAAGGCTATTTTGAGCAGATACGAAAGTTAACTGCAAACCTGAGTCCTCTGCCCTCTTTTATAGGCGAGGCTCAGGTATGCGTAAAAAGGCTTCTCGCCTAAGTATGGGCCTAACACTTGGCCCATATTGAATACTAATCTAACAGATATATTTAATCAGTGCAGAACAGAAATAGTAAACATCTAAATTATTACAGACAAAACAGACAAACTTGATTCACAATAAAATAGTCTTCAACAATCTCCCCCTTTGTGATCAAGTGCCGTCTTGCATTTATTTTTGAGATCTGAAGTAATGCTTTCTGAAATTTAGCGCATGCTCATACTGTCTCAGCATTCTTCTCTTTTCAAGTTGCTCGTTGATGGGCTTTAGGATGGTCCACACCTTCTCGTATACTAGGAGCTCTTCCTCGCTGGCGTCCGCAAGTCTTGGATCTATATTCTCTTTGATCTCTTGCAGCTTGGTCTGGATGATCTTCAGAGTCCCATCACAATATTTGTGAATGTCTTCTACCCACATGAGTCTTTTCTGTTCCTCGTGATTGAGGTATATGATAGAGACCGGGTCCTTGAAGATATGATATGGTCTGTACTTTTTGAGCTCTGGACCGTTCAGAGTTGGCTTTACCAGATTTGCTTTTCGGACATTGTTTTCCAGGGCCATCTGTAGATCATGGGCAGCATAGAATCTGATCTGTCTCAGCATAAACCATTTGATCGCCTCATAACCTTCTTCGTGTGTCCTGTTTCGACTCAGTGAGAGATACCTACTTACCATGAACATTTGGTAGATATCCTCCATCTTCATCATTATAAAGTCATTTTCCTGGCAGATGAATATGCTGGAATCTGTTCGTCGAACTTTGAAGCTGTAGAATGGGATGGTGTGATGATCTTCTCTGTGTATATCAAGGATAGCGTCAATAGGATGGATGCTGGACTTCATATCTCTTTCCAGTATTTGTCGTTGTTTTCCAGATGATCTATGCATCAGCATGTGAAGATGTCCGCCAGCCAGTTTGCC